TAGAGCATCGCACCGGTATCGCGGAGGTCACGGGTTCGAATCCCGTTGAAGCCCTGATTTTTTCAGGCTTCTTCTTTCCAATTGCTTAAATTGGAAAAACTACTGCGATGATCATCCTTCACTTTCACTATTTTTACTGTTCGTTGAATAGCTTTCCTTTGATTTAGGCCTTGTCCTCACTTAGCCGGAGAAATTTAAAAACGCAGCTTTATTTCTACGGTTGGACCTACTGCCCACACTAATCCGTCACGGAAACGGCGCTTTTCGAAAACTCTCTTCAAACCGGAGGAATTTGAAAACGCCTGCTTTTCGTTTCAATGTGGATGGAAAACATTTCGAAAACGGAGCTTTTCGGATACGATGACGTCACGATAATCAAGTGATTCCCTAATCGGAGATTTCCTTAAACACGAATCCAAAATGACCGGTGATTGTTGCGTTTTCAAATTTCTCCGGCGTAGTCATTGTGGCCGGGGCCTTTATTTCCTTCTTTCGCTTCAACTGACAAGTTTGACGGGTTTCTATTTCAGGTTTTACTGGCATTGACTCAGTGTACGAGCCGCCACCCAACCCAGAGCTGTGTCTCAAGTCAGGAGAAGAGCTGGTAGACGACTGCGTTCAACGAGTCATCAAGCTGCTTGCAGACCAAGTAAACGTGATTTTATGGAGTTTGTTTGGTGTTCAGCGTGTGTATATTAAACCATAAGATAGTTTGAAACCGAGATACAATGTACAAACTGGCCAAGTTGAGATTATCGCGAGATGTTGAAGTATTGTAATATATGAAAAGATTTTGATAGCGTTTCGTATTTGGTGTTCGCCTCGAGGTTTATAAAACTCCCTTTAGAATCGCGAATTCCATAGCTCAATCACGGGTTGACAAGACCGCATTCTTGGATTGACTAACTTTGCAAAGTGGAGGCGGTGTGGCTAGTGGTTAGGGCGCTGGATTTGTAACCCGGAGGTCCTGGTTTCAAGTCCACTAGATGGATTTGTGTTTGGCGGTCCCAAGTTCAACTCCTCCACGGTTTGTAAACAGCCAGCTCGTCAGCCTCCCGCCAGTTGGGATTTTTAACAAGTTTCCGTTTAATTTACAATGTTTGTTTGCCTATTTCAACGTCCTCAATTAGTACGGCAGTGCTAAACACTACGGCACTTAAATAAAGTGATTATTTTTTTCACTAGAAATGACACTTAACTAAGCATGTTTTATTCTAGGGTATTTTGCCATACTCAACCTACAGTGGAATCAAAGAGCTGTTCGTTCCAGAAGAGCAGGTCGAGGAAGCCAAACAAGAAGCCGAGGAACTGCCTTCAGTTGAAATAACTAAGGTTAGATTAGCTTGAGGAAACAGACGTCTTACCGTCTTATTCTATTCCGCTTGCTCAACTGACCACCACGCTTGGGTGAGACTTGATCCAAAAGTATCATACTGATGGCGTCACTGTAGAGAGATCTACGTTTCCCAGCGGTGAAAACCAAATTACGAGCCGATAAACTACGTGAATAACGATTTTTTTTTGTTGTTTTTGTTGTTGTTGTTGTTGTTGAGTGGTTGTCTTATCTTCTGGTCTGAAAATGGGGAATTTCAGAAAATTGACACGTTTGGCGGGAATTGTGCGTGCGTGGTACGTTTGACCAAGTGAAGTCTCTGATTGGTTGCATTCTCGTCCCCAGTGCTGCTCGATTAAAAATGTCGATACGAGTTGCTAATTACTTGCGCGTGAAGTTTTCCTTACTGAGCTACAGCTAATGAAAGACACTGGTCTGGGTATTAATATCCGTATTTCCGAAATTCCTTTTCCGCTCGTTGAAAGAAAGACTCACATATTCCTCTCCTCACGTTAACATGAAGTTTGACCGTATTATTTCTTTTATTTTCATAGTTGGATCTTCAGTGGGTACAAGTTCTTGCCGAAGGTTGGGCGACGCCTCTTAATGGCTTCATGAGGGAGCGTGAATATTTGCAATGTCAGCATTTTGGACTCTTATTGGATGGTGAGTACTTTTTGTTTCTTCTATCCTTGGCACTTTGTACGAAATAAAGTCGCCATTGATTTGGAGTTGTAAACAGTGACCTTTAGAGTACGCGTTCGACTACAAGTTTATGTAAGGGACTTACCGTACTCAAATTCGCGCTTAGCCAATCCGTAGCCATGTCTGCTGCCCAGATATCCTGCTGTTTCGGTGGCCGAATTTGGGTACGGTAAACCTAATCGTACCCTTTTTGGTACGCTTTGGCCGCATATCAGGTTCAGTTGGTCTTGCTATGGGTATTTATGCTCAACCACGTCTCGCCAAAATACGAACCATCTGCCTCCGAAGCGTGCCAAATGGCACGATTTGGTATAAATACTGAGAGAAGATACAGTATATATATCCCAAAAAGTATTCCTCTACTCTCTGTTCGCAACGGAGTCAACGAGGCTAGCTGCCTTTGAAGAGTTTGCAATTTTGTGCCATAATACCAGCACGTTTTCGCCATGACGACAGAAACGCGAAAACTGGTACAGTTAGTTAGTTAAATAACGACAGCTATGACGTCTTCTCGCAAAAACGATACGTGTACCCTTTCGCTGATGGTAAATGTTGAATCTCTAATGCGATATAACGTGAAGCTGACTTTTTCTTGCCCCACTGGCAGAGGGCGTGGTCAATCAATCCATTCCCATCGTGCTCCCGGTTCAGACCGCTGACAAAGAAAAACTAGAAGGAAAGGAAGCCCTTGCCCTTCGTTATGAAGGGAAGCCAGTAGCTATCCTGAGAAAACCAGAATTTTATCCTCACCGCAAAGAAGAACGATCGGCCCGTCAATTTGGAATAACGCACATCGGACACCCCTACATTAAGGTTAGTGGTGTGATAGCCCAAATGGAAGTTGTGTAGAGTCATGCATTGATTATTTTAACAGCACAATGGTTGCCTCTCCGGCGTGAGACAAGTGTAGCAATTTGGGATTGTCCTGTCGCATCAGGGCTCAGTTTCGAACGGATGTCATGTAAGTCCGAGTTCTAACCCGAACTGGGGAGGTTGTGTTGTATTTCTGGGCAAGTTACTCGTAGTTGTCCTTTAAGAGCAAACGCAAACAACGCACTGAACCAATTAGAAATCGAAACAAAGTACTCAGGCACTATCAAGCGCGGGATGCCAAGCGCGGGAAAACGCGCGTAGGCTAAGTGACGAGTGGTTTTGGTTGTTTCTGATTGGTTGAAAACGCAGCATACTTTTTTCGATTGAGCAGACGTATTGGATCGCACGTACGTATTTTTTTTTAACCAGTTACAGAGCTCAACGAAAAAAGAACAATTTCTTTCCATAGGTTATCGAAAGCCCCTCTCAGTCAAGTCTTACCACCATATCTAAAGAAATGTACGGTAATATGTATAATTTGTATAATGCGTGTTTAGAGTATGAGACTGAAAAAGCTTCAACTTTATTGCAGATGATACATGAAAGTGGAGATTGGCTTGTTGGAGGAGACCTGGAAGCCTTGGAACGAATCAAATGGAATGATGGACTTGACAGTTACCGAAAGACTCCGAATGAACTTCGTGCCGAATTCCGACGACGAGATGCCGACGCCATATTTGCTTTCCAACTCCGTAATCCAGTACACAATGGGCATGCGTTGTTAATGCAGGTAACAACAAAACTGTTATCGTTGAATACAGAAATTTTTTCTGGGAAATATTTAAGGAACTGCATCGAAAACTAACTTACAGGCATTTTGGGTTACACATAGTTATAGGGAAACCTCGTCAGTAAAATAGTGGAAAATAAGTTGTTTGTTGCCTAAAAGCGCTATATTCCTAAATGGATTACAATGACCTTACTATTACATTATGTGATACAGCGACAGTTAATACTCAAGCGTTCGGTTGTCTACGTTTCGACAGGGCTTGTGGACGCTGTTGCAATGTGTCTGCAATATCAGCTCAAAATTTATACGTTGTGATACGCATCGTGTATCCGTGTGTTGAACATAAATGCACATCAAGTGTTTTAACGATTGTTGAGTGGAGACTAGGATTGTAAACTAGGTTTCTCTTATTTCTATGTATCGGGCCGCAAACAGCACTATTAGAAACTTGCACACTGTGGATTAGATGGGTTTTCAATTGATTTTGGTTTTACTAAAGTTTGAGATTCACTGAGTAGTCTAACAGACCAGTTTCGTTTTGGGCTGGACCTAGCATGTAATGGAGGCTCATGCGGGGAAACATCATAAAAAAGAGATTAACGTCATTTGCATTTGAAAAGACTCTCGCATTAGCCTCAGTTGCAAGCTAGATCCAGTCCAATACCGAGTATACTAAAATGGCCTATTGGTAAGTAATTGGTTTGGTTTTGGTTTTAGAGCGGTTTTCATTTGAGAGTCGTAACCAAAGTAATCACTCGAGCCAATCATAAAGGACACCGACAATCCAATGAACCAATCAAAGTAAAAGGCCATATTCGTATTCTCGGTATTGGACTGGAACTAGCTTGCAACTGAGGCTAGTGCATTTGTCTCTTTTTAATGATATTCCCCCGCACAAGCCTCCATTGCAAGCTAGTTCCAGTCCAATACCGAGAATAGGAATATGGCCTATTACATGTAGCTGACGCAAAGCGCGGGAAAACGCGTGCGAGGTAGTCACGATTATTTTTGGTTTTACTCCTGATTGGATGAAAAAGTGGCGCGAATTTTTCAAGCCAATCGTCCGGCGTAGTAAATGCAAAACCAGTTACTTTTCGACACTCAATTGAAAACTGCCCTGTGGGTCTTTAACATAGCGTTCTTTGATTTTCCGTTCTGTTTTAGTTGTTGTTTGGAATCATTTCTTATGCTACTTGAATTTCTTCCCCTTAGGATACCCGTCAGAAGTTACTTGAAAGAGGATTTAAAAAGCCCGTGTTATTACTACATCCCCTGGGAGGGTGGACAAAGCAAGATGATGTTCCGTTACCAGTCCGAATGAAGCAACATCATGCTGTTATGGAAGAAGGAGTACTGGACCCAGAGAACACAGTTATAGCTATATTTCCTTCACCTATGATGTATGCTGGCCCAACAGAGGTTGGTATTCTCAATGGCTAATCAGTGTAGTCATCTTGCATAGGTAATTTGAAAATAAGAAACCGTTGTGTATGTTTTCTGAAATGTTCTTGTTGCCTTGAACAAATAAAGAAACAAAACAAAACAGTAACCATCGCGAATGTTTTGGTCTTCTTGATAGAATATTTAACGATTTATGTTTAAACATGAAACATTCTTCATTGCTACAGGTTCAATGGCATGCCAAGGCGCGTGTGGCAGCTGGAGCAAATTTCTTTATTGTGGGACGGGACCCTGCTGGAATGCCCCACCCTGACCCTAATCCAAAGAGGGACCTTTATGAGCATTCACACGGTAGAAAGGTAGGATTGAAAAAAAAAAAACCAAACGAAAACAGAATCATGAGAATAGCTACAGTGTTTATTTGTCATAACAAAAGCGCTAAGTCACACAATTTGGCACTGACCTACTGTTCACAGAATTAAATGAAATATCAAAATAAAGTCCTTAAACTGTTGAAGAACTCAAAAAAAAAAAAAAAAAAAAAATCAAAAAGGGAAATTGGAAAAGATTAAAATGGATTGCATTCGAGTTAACTTGAAAAAGTCATCCCAGTTATTTCAAGTGTATCTTGATTTGTATGGAAGTGTCGTTTATAATGGTCGGAATTCATCCTTGTTTGCTATGAGGCCGTGATTTTGCTAATTTAAGACTGCCGCTCTTGCTATTTGAAGTTTACTGATCGTAATTAACGAAAATTGACAGTATTACCTAAAATCCCGTGACCCAGCCCCAATTTTCCACACACCAGTCAGACTCTCTCCCACTGAGCTGTAACAGTGCCCCTAGAACGTAGCCACAGTAAGATTTTGCGTACTAAAACAAACAAAATCCTGTGTTTTTTCGTCAGGTTTTAACCATGTCTCCAGGTCTCACACAGTTAGAGATAGTTCCGTTCCGTGTAGCGGCTTACAACACAAAGAACAAAAAGATGGACTTCTTTGATCCAGAACGGAAGGAAGAGTTTGATTTCATATCTGGGACGCGCATGCGTGGCTTAGCACGGGCTGGTGAGGTTCCACCGGACGGGTTTATGGCGCCTAAAGCATGGCAGGTCCTGTCGGATTATTACCGCTCCCTGAATAAGAATTAACGCTTGTACCCTCTAGGCACAATGCTGTCAGTACTTTCAGTAGTGCTATACAATGCTACTGATTGTAACAAGTAGTCACAATTTTCAATCTCTTCGGGAACTTAGGAAAAGTCTATCAGTGAATCGATATGAAAGATACCTTACATCGCAGGCAGTATTTCCTAAGGTCTAGTTTACAATAGCGACATTACGACATAGTTTCTTATGTCTCAAAGTGAACATTGAGATAAAAGCATAAGGAAAAGATCAGTTTTTTATTATGTTGTTATGTTCAGTCTTTTATGTTACTATTATGGCATTATGTCAGGAAGTTCACTTTGCAAACATCACGATACAATGTCCTGCTTATGTCGTTATTTCGCTTATGTGAACCCGGCCTTACAATCATGGGAGATATTACTGAATGAGATTGTTTTAGCAGTGCAACGTTCTCGGCAATTTTACCCAACAATGAGGATAATATTGAATCAAAATTTTGGGACCGTTAAACGCTTAATTCACGTCACTAACTTTTCATCAAACCAAGCTGAAATTTTTAGAGTCGTGTCTGTTAAAATTACCCTTTTAATGGGAACTTTTTTGGAATCGATTCAAGTTAGACTCTTTCTTTGCTCCCGATTCTGCATTTCCAATTTTCTTCATAATGAAACGACCACAACACAACCATAAGCACATGGGAACTTGGCTGTAGTGCAATCGTATTGCAATTTTATCGTAACAATTATTTTTAATGTAGTTTAGGCACGCACGCAGTGGTGAATCGCTGGGATGTCCTAAGTAATTATGGGATCGAATGCAGGTTTCGTAATGAATATTTTAGCAGGTTTAGCCAGAAAAAGTAATAATCCTGGCGCTAATTTTCAAACTTGTTTAAAAAAATACGTCCTATAGAAAAATTCCCTTCGTAATTTTTACGGTAGTTCTGGGAAACACCGTTCCTTCGATTGTACCCCCGCCAAGTCACGCATTTCTGTTTTACATAATTTTAGAAGGGTATGTTCTTTTAAGTATTATTAGATAAATACAATTTCCTTGGTTGCATTGTAATGCTGTTTAACCGGGAAATAAAAAACATATACGCACGATATTCTGCAGTTGTTAGTGTTGTTAAATCTTTTAACTGCTGTCGTTGTCAACTCCCTGTGTCCTGACAATTTTCTCTGTACTACTAACAGCAGGTGCGTAGAGAGTCTGAAATCCTTGAGAAAAGTGTTGAAATCTGCAAATTTAGTTTTTCAGATTTCGCGAGAATTTGGAAAATAAAAATTAAGCCAAGGAAAGGCGGACAAAAACTGTGGAGTGTTTTTCAAGCTGCAACTATTGCTTAATACCTATGCCAGATTTCATGTATATCGCGCCTAACCCAAATGTAATAAGAGAGAAGCTGGTGAACTTCGTCTCTCCACCCTACCCCCTGACATGATTGTCCTTTCTCCGCATTGTATCTGGTGACCTTCGTCTCTCCACCCTACCCCCTGACATGATTGTCCTGTCTCCGCATTGTATAGCGGATTAAAGTACATCATGGTTACATTCTGGTTGCATGTTTGGAATGGCTATTTTTGTTGAGTCTGGAAAAAGAAACTATTAGATTTGGAAAAAGTATGGACAAAGTCTTGCTTTTGGCGTATAAAAAATGTACGAACGTGAGCAGGGACAAAACGAAGACACTCGACCAAAAAAAAAAAAAAGAAAAAAAAAAACACAAGCAAATAAACAAACTAACACTTGTTAAGAATGTTCTTCGTTAGTTTTTTAATAGCCTTGCTACAAACTACTACTGCAGTTTTCTACTCGTTAATTTACGCTGTAGTCACTAAGGTTTAGTTACTGTCCTTTTCTACCATCCAGGAATTGGTTTTAAAACCCGGATGTATTGTTCAATACCTTGCAAGCCATTCTACGAGCAAAACGGCAAAAATAACTTGACTATGCTTCGATGCCTAAGCAATGAGGAACTAAATATAATTTGAGCATGCTTGGAAAGTAAACAAGAACTGTTCGCATAGCAGGCAAGGTGTTAAACTACTTTTATACTTAGTGTTACCACCGCTGTCGTCTTTGTTTTCATCATAAAACTTTTGTCATTTAGCACCTAACGTAAGTCATCTTTTGTTAAACTGAACGGCAATGTTTTTTAGCTTTCCTTCTATCTTTCAACTAAAAGCTTTGACTATTATGAAATGCACTTAACTTTTCAGGAGTTATTCGCTAAGGAAACATAAAATATCTCTGCCACTACGTTAGTTTAAAAGAACCGCTAATAAAAAGAGTTAGCTTGTAGCTGTAGTTTTGACGCTGGGCTGGCTGGGTGAGTTGACATGGAGTTGCGAGGTTCGTTAGGGAGTGGATTTCGTTTAACGCCCTGAAGAGAATATAAAAGCAAAATTATTAATTGAGCAATAAAACCAGTAGGCTTATTACTCGAGTAATAACTAAGAGCCTATCGCAAGCGCCATCCCAGCATTTAGCCAGATAGTGGTTAAAGCACTGAGCACTTGTAGTCATTTTTACGAAATAGAAAACACTTTGTGTGTTTCTATCGAGTTTTAGTAAACTTTTACTCGTATAATAACGCAAATGCTGCAATCTGATTGGCTGAGCCATCGTACACTATCAGTAGGTCGTCCACAAAATGACATAACTATCACCTCATGGAGACGATAGTGGAAATTTGAAAGAACGAGAGCTACTGTGTGTACACGAACTGCTTCGAGTTCTCCCAAAACATTCTCGAGTGTGTGTTTTTTAAATCGAGCTCGAGACTAACCGCAAGATTGTTGAAAAGGGCGCAGTCCGAGTCAACTATCACGCATTGAAATCGAGAGCGAATAATCTAATTGTTTTAGAGTGAATCTATAAGTCGTTTAAAATTAAAGTACAACCCTCTTCACAAACACTTGTAAAACGCACAGAAGCGGCCTCGATTTTGTTGAAAACCGCACACTGCTAAGCTACTCACCATCTAAAACAGAATATATAGTGAGTAGCGTAGCCAATTGAGAACGGCATTCATGATAAAACGTAAGTAGATTTATAAATCTCGATAGAAGCACAGAGAGATTGCTTTCTATTTCTTTTAAAAACACCTCGGGAAACACGTAGGGGCCAAACCACCCCCCTAATGTTTCATGAAGGCTATATTTGCTTAGTTTATATATTTCTGAACCAAGTTTGGCAGATGAGCTTTCTTTGTTCTCCAGTTT